GTAGGATGTATTTCATTGTTACAAATTGAACATAATTAAAGCATAGTGATTAACCACAAAACAATATGTAATTATATATTGTGTAATATTTATGTGTTTTCTGATGGGCTTAGGTAACCCCTGTGAAAGTGTCATTTGACCCACAGGTTGAGAACTGCTGATGTAAGGCATTGTTGGCATAGTGGTTACAAGTTGGGCTGCTAACTGCAAGGTCAGCAGTTCAAAACCTCCAACTGCTCAGAGGGAGAAAGACAGAGCTTTCTACTCCTACTTTGTCTCTCTCAACTCTCACCCCACCCCTAAAGCCAAGTCAGTCAACCAACATATAATATAAATATATATATTTATATCTAAATATAATAAAAAGTTTCATAGTCATTGATCCGATTCTTCCTAAGTACCTCAAACTACATTTCATTTTTCCACCCTTCCCCAACCTTGTTTTCTGCGATGCTTGTTGCTCCTGTTGTTGTTTTAGGTGCTATCAAGTCGGTTTTCAGCTCACTGTGAACTTAAGTGACATGGTAGAGCTGCCCCATTGGGTTTTTTAGGCTGTAATCTTGGCAGAAGTAGACCCCAGGTCTTTCTCTCAAGGGACCGGTTGGGTAGGTTTGATTTTCCAGCCTTTCTTTTGGCAGCCATGCACTGAACCATTTCACCAGGGAGTCATCTCTGACTCCTCTCCCTCACTTTTCACAGTCAAACACTCAGCAGGCTCTGCACATTTGAAATGCTATTTTTGTAATGGTCTGTCCCTTTCCATTCTACAACTGCGAGACTATTTCAGACCTTCATCATGTGTCTTTCACCAGAGCTGCAGCCTTCCAACTTATCCTCCTACTACCCCCCCACCCCCAGATAATAAAACAAAAGCACATTTGTTGCAATAAATTAATCCAGTGACATCCACAAATCAATTGGTTAGTGAAATAAGAGCCTCCACCACGTTGCCCATGTGCTCCCGCAAGCTCCGCTCGGTGGCTGCTGTGGCGATCTCCATCTCTGTCATTATCAGCTCCTGATCTGCTTTCTTGATGGTGACTTTTGCTAGTTCCTTCTCCCGCACCGGTTTGGCTTTCTGTTCCCGGGATCGTCTGTCTTCAATCACAGACATGACTGTCACCAGGTTGGAACTCTGGATCTCCTTCTCCGCATAGTCGGTGTCTCACTCTGGGTCTGCTGCACCACTATCATGCTTCTGAGGCTTTTTGGGAGGCCACTCTGGACCACTAGTCTCAGTCTCCAACTCCAGTTCCACATCCCTCTCCACAGCCATAGCAATCCCAATGCACAGCCGCTCTCTCGTCCACCTACTTACAGTTCATTCTCTAAATGGATCCAGAGGTATTTTTCAAAAATGCACCCTGGACCATGTCATCTTTCTTCTTAGAGCCCGTCTGCTTCTTTGCCTTCCCTGCGCAGTAACGTTCAAACCCCTTGATTTGGAAAACAAAACTTCCCCCAAATCTATAGCCCAAACTTGATGCTATAACTATTCAAACTTTTCCAAATATGTATTAAGAGCATTAATGATTGGTTCTGGCAATAAAGCACAGCTAAGTGGTAGGTGACTAATGCTGGCTGTGATGGTTAAGATTATATCATGATGCTCAGTGGTAATGATGTAACCATCCCCCATGTTCTCATAAAATCCTGGTCTTTGGAACCTAATGATGCCAATACGTGATGTGTGGTGGTAGATTGTTGCTGTTAATTGCTGTCAAATCATTTCTAAATGGTGGCAACTAGCATATATCAAATACTCAATAAATATTTGTCTTCTGTTCTCAAGCCTCCTATAGAGTCTATTCCATGCATAATTATTTAATTCATTATATATAACTGACTGATTGATTTGCCAGTTGATTGAATAGAATTAAAGAAAGCAGAAGCTGAGACTTTTTTTAAAACTGATTTGGAAGGTGTGATATCATTAAAGGAGAATAGAAACAAAGATAAAACAGAAAGAGAGTTTGAAGACCAAGATAGGGCATTACGTTCACATTCATTGGTTTGGGGTGACAGGAGTGATCCATCAGCTATCTGATCAGGTCGGCAATGTTAGAGGCCATTCCAGTTGAGAGGCGTAAACACAGAAATGTGACAAAGAAACCAACACAGAAAGGGCGGAGGGAGAAAGGAAGAAGAAAAAGTACAGAATCTTAAAAAAAAAAGTCTGCCTGTAGGGGAAGAGGGTAGGGGTCCCCACAAAAGATCCTGGGGGGGGGGTGTTCAAAACCTAGGTCAGCAGAAGATCCACAGAGAAAAGGGTTTTGCGAGTCAATTCGTGTGAAGTGGTATAGTCAGCAGCGAGACTATCCAAAGAAGAAAAGACTTACCACATTTGTTCTTTAAAAATTAGCTTCTTTCTAAAAGTTAGGAAGAGAGAGGAAATAGTAATGTCAAAGAAGCCGTGGGAGTTTTGTTTTTTAACTCAGGAAAAGGAAAACAACCTACCCTCTGGAAGAAATGAAGACATTCAAAAGTGTACAAATCTAAACATAAAACTCTTCTCCCAAACCCTGTTTGCTTTCTGACTTTCTGATTTGGTGTTTATCCATCCAGAACTTTACAAATATTTTTGTGGAGTTGTGTTTTATCAAAAATTAGATCCCATTATGCATTCAATTACTCCAAATTCTTTTCAATTTGTTAGTATGTCATAAATGTTCTTCATATTAGTATAAAGAACTACCTCATTCTTTTCATTGGCTGGAGAGTAGCCCTTGTGATGGATGCCTCATGGTTTACCAGTTTCCTATTGAATGGCATTTGCCTTCTCTTTTTTCAGTGCTGACAAATAATTCTGCAGTGGTCGTCCTTTAACCAATGTCCTCTTGCTGTTACGCACATTCTCCTTTGGGAGAAGTTCTTAGATATAGGAGTGTTAGGATGGGGAGCACATTTTTATGGTAAATAGTAGTTGACAAATCACACATAAAATGTTATGCCTATTTGCAGTTTCCCAATAGTGTATGAAAGTACTCCTTTTCCCACATGCTCACTGTTACTCGTTATTATTATAATCCTTCCCACATAAGAGAAGAGTTGAGTTTGGGGTTTTTACCAGCAGGTCTGAAATTGTTTGTAATCCTGGGGAAAGAATTCAGTCAGGAGGAGATTAAATTATAAGAAAAGGGGATGATTGACAGGGCATGAGTTAAGATGGTTTCATGAGTACAGCTCAAAGCTGTAGTTTTCTTCTGAGGTACTGAGATGAGTAGTAGAGAGTAAGGATGAAAACAAATGCAAGTGAAGGAAGAAAATTTTTTATTATTATATAGTCATCTTTATCTCAGGGAAACTAGAAACGAAATCCCCTGTTCAGATGGGCGATTGCCAAGAGTTTTGACACAGGTGCACGAAAGCCTCTACCTTAAATGGGACCGAGAAGCAGGAGGCATAGGGAGCAGTGTTGTCTAGTATTGGAATTGCAGCTGAGGATGAGACGGGAGGAATTTTCAGTAAGGCTTGGTCACAGGAATTTTTCTCTAGGGTCCAGCAGAAATGCAGTCGCCTCGGTTTGGGTCTTGGGCTGAAGTAAATTTGTATGATACTCACAGTGAGGTCACTTTATTCACCCTATTTTATCTCTGAGCAGAAATTATGTCGCTTAAGATACATCCACTGGTGGTTTTCTCTGTGAGAGAGATCCCTGGGTGTTGCCAAAATTTAAAAAATTAAAAGTATATATTTAATATGTGGCATTATAACCATATAAGGTCATATTGCTTATAATTTCTATTTCTTCTTGTTTAAAAAAATCATTTTATTGGGAGCTCATACAGCTCTTATCACAATCCATACATACATACATCCACTGTGTCAAGCATATTTGTACTCTTTTCATAGGTTGTATAACTTTCAGTTTGTATCGATAAATTATGATATGAGCAACTATTACTACACATTCTGGCCAAACAAACCAGGAACTCGGGGACTTTGATGAGTTTGTGATTGGAATCCTGCTCAAGGAATTGAATAATACTCTATTCCGCTTCTTCTGGTTTAGAGTTTGATCCTTCTTCTAGAGAGTTTAAACTAAAAAAACAAAAACAAAACAAACCCACTCCCATTGAGTGGCTCCTCACTCAGAGTGGACCTACAGGACAGAGCAGAACTGGCCCAGGGAGCCTCCAGAGCCGTCCGTCTTTACAGAAGTAGACAGCCTCATTTTTGTCCCAGTCTCAGACATATTCATGCTTAGAATCTCACTTTGAGAGTAGTTTCTTCTACCTGTTCCCCATTCTTGCTTCTTAACTTCAGTTTGTACTTTGCTTATGGGTACGGGGGAAAGCCAAAGCGTCATTCGTCTGTGCAGAGCTGCCCTGAGAAAGAAGAGCCTGGTGTCGCCTGGAGAGCTACCGGCAAGACTACTTCTCCTTGAAACGCTGGCAGTTGTAGAGGAATTTTGTTAGGGAGAGGCTAAAACATATGTACAAGTGTTCTATTCCATACTTACCTTGCTGAAATTTTAATGCAATTATGTGAGGACAGAGTTCACTTCTACCATATGCACGATTGCACTAGCCCTTATATACATCAGGTTTCCAATACATACTGTAATGACTGAAAATGAGAATATAAATAGATGTTAAGGTAAATCTGTGGCATTTTAGTCCCCAATGTTCTTTTTTTTTTTTTGGTACCTGGAAGACATTTGAGAGCTCTGCATCTTGTTTTATCTTCTTTTTGGTACATATGTTCAGGTTCTTACTCTGACTTGGTGACTTTATTAGCAATTCCATAGGTCTGAGTCTCATCTCCCCCACTCCAGCTGTAAGCTTATGAAGATAAACACCCTCTCTTCTCTCCATCTGCTGTGACAGGACACACAGTAGACCATCAGTATATTGTTTAAATTATACCTTAATAAGCAATAAGAAGAAATAAACTAGAATTCTTACTAATGTGGATTGCATTTCAATGCATGCTGGATTTAAGCTCTTGTGTGTGATCTATATCTGCTCGCATGCTCTCATTCACGTTTGTCCTTTCAGTTTGTTGCAGTCAACACGGGATGGCTGTCTGCTTGGGACATCACCATCCATCAAATTGTTCCAAGAGTCCACTAGCAGTGGAGAGACCCGGAGGGGAAAGAAAACGGTTGGGTTTCAGCCAGAGGCGGGCGATGAAGCCCTGTGGCCTTGTCAAAAGAAGGACACATGGAGACCCCCAAGAGGTAAGCTGGAGGAGGACAATGCGATGCTCTCAGGGCCAGGTCGCTGCAGGTGGCCACTGCCCCGTGGGCTCCAGATGATTTCCTACAACCCTTCTCATGGCCCAAATCGTTGAAAAACTGGCACATGCCTGCAAGGCCACAGGTTAAGCATCTCCTGGGTCAGTAATTGCATGTGTTTCTCTGAGAATACTGATATGAAACTATCCCATTTGCCCTTCTTTCTGTAATCAGTGAACCATTAAAATCATTCAGCCATGTGTATGGTCCTAGACACAAAATAATAGTAGTCAAAAAGGGCATGAAATGGAACATAAACTCCTCCTAGGAAAGTAAACCCAAGCATCTACACTCCATCCTTTATTAACATGAAATATGGGGGAGGATTGAGCAAACCCACGCATAGCTCCACATTGTGGCTGCAACACCACGTCGTGAGTCTTAGCTAGTCCCTGGTAGTCTTTTAAATGTCAGTAATGCTTCCTATGTTATATCCAGCTATTTTTAAAAGAAATCAATTATAGATAACCGTGTGACATGTTGAGTGAAACCATCAACTCCAATTGTGTCTCCCAGTTGTTCCCAAAGTGGCTGTTGGCTGAATCTACCCCAGCAACCTTCAGGGGTAGGATGGAGCAAATCTGAGCAGCACTGTGAAAAAGAGATGTCCAGGACACCACAGAGCGAAGCAGGTCCCCAGGCCTCTTTACCAGCACCTCTTTCCCCACCATCCATACTATTTTCTTTTTTGCCTTCTTTTCCCACTGGGCTAGCATCATCCCACCGTTGATGTGGAAGCAACCTACATTTTAGAGCCTTTCTAGTCTAGTCATTCTCACACTTAATAGCTGAGAAGAGGGCAGTGCTTTGTGAGAAGATCTCGCAGGTCCTGTCTCTCCCTTTCTTCGTCACCGGCTGCCACCTCTGTCATGTGTTTTGTTATTGTTGTTTTGCTATTAATTCTAATGGGTTTTGAAATGGTTGATCCTCTTCTGGATAATTGTGGTAGTTACAGAATCTGGTGTCAATTTGAGAGGATTATGAATGAAGGGGTGGAGTCTGGCATGTCAATCAAGATATAACCAATGAGTCCCCTGTGTGGGCATGGCTTTCTCCTGAGAATTCTGGGAAATCCAGGATTTCTTCCTTGGAGCAGAAGACACACTTCTTTCTCTGCTCATTCCGTGTGAGACATCCCTAAGGAGAAGCCACATGGAGCTACCCTGATGCAGCCAGAACCCTGGACCTGGAGAAGCCATGTGGAAACCCCTGCCAGCGCTGAGATGCTCACAACGCCACTGGATCCAAAGACTTTCTACCCACAGGCCTGTGATTGTCCTGCCTGCATTTGGCATCATGGCATGTGTTCTGTGAGTCTGAAGAAGACTTTATAGATTGGGATCGGACATAGAGACTGATATCGGACTTATGGGCTTGGACTAGACTAGGTTGGGATGTTTTCTTACTGTACAATTACCCTTTATATAAAACCCTTTCTTATACGTATATGAGTTTCTATGGATTTGTTTCTCTTGTCTACCTGGACTAACACAATAATAAAGAGATGGCTAATTAGCCTGAACTTCAGAAAGGAGTGGATCGACAATGTGAAACAAAAGCACAAGTACATCTAGTTTGACAGAAGGCAGAAGGTCTGAAGGCAGAGGTCTACAGACCTCCATTGCTTTAGGCCAACCTAGGAGCTTCTTTTCAGACTCACAGCCATCAAGTCGATGCTGACTCATAGGGCCCCTATAGGACAGGGTAGAACTGCCCCGTGGGTGTCCGAGGCTGTATCTCTTCATGGACGTAGACAGCCTCCTCTTTCTCCTGAGCAGTGGCTGGTGGTTTTGAATCGCTGACCTTTCAGTTAGCAGCCCAACACGGAACCCACTACACCATTGGGTTCTTTTGTTTAGACTAGGCCACCACAAATAGAAATGAAATTGATGAGACACACTCTATGGGATCGGTCATCTTCCCTTTCTTTGTTAGTAGCCCTGCAGAGATAGAAACTCTGACTTCCACTCCCTCGATCCTTAGTCATTGTGCTGTGGTTGCAACGCAAGGCGTAGTTTTAACATAGTCTTCTGCTGCCTTGTCAACAGATTGGTGTTATGCGTCAACCCAAAATAAAATGGAAAAAGTGGGGCACGGGGAGATAGGGCGTAATAGCAAAAGGACAAATAACTTGTGTTATTGGTAAAGACCACAACAACATTAGAAAGCAGCAATTGAAAAGGCATTTTGGGAAAGGTGTCATCAGGCCAGCCCTTGCTATGGTGGAGGTTAATCTCTCCTGGACCCAGCTACAGTAGCTGGAAGCCTGGAAAGGGCTTGTGTCCCCCCAAAAATCAATTTCTAATTTGAAACAAAATCATTTTTGACTAACAGGGGTTCAGAACCCATTACTTTTTGCTGTGTAGTCTGCTGACATTTCAGCACTCTCTGTTGTGCACAATGCATCCTAATCGTCATTTTATAACGTTGCTATACCAATCAATTTAACCCCGAGAACGCTGTCACAATTCTGCCAAGTCTCCAGAAACAGTTTTCACTCATGATTTTATTTTTCCATGAGTCCTAACTGCTCCCCCACCTCCGCTTTTGTTTTTTTAAAACAAAGCTTGGTGATTGTCATGTTCCAGAAAAAGGAAATGTTTTCATTGTTTTAAGGTATGCTTAGCTTTCTTGTCTGCCCATGAAAAAAGCTGCCTTGTGCTCCTCCCTTCTTCCATTCTAGTTAAGAAACCATGAACAACATCATGGCCTACGTGATACTGGAAGGGGCTGAAGCTGCCCCTTTGGACCAGTCTGCCCAGTATAGTGGTAGCGTGCGTGAAATACAGGACAGGGCAATGGTACTGTGTTGGCATTTACTATAGCACCCAACCAAATGTGAGAAATAAACTTTTCAAGGTGTGCTACGTTGGCTTGCCCACCCTGTTTATCATAAGGCCAATGACCTAGGACTAATTGCTTAAGTTACACTACTTGGTTTACTGCCTTCTTAATTGCCTTACCCCTTTAATGTGTCTGATTTGTTTTTGGATATACTTTTCTTCTCTTTTCACCTTTTGTTTCCTTTGCTGTTGTCCTTCAGTCATTAAGTATTGTATAGAACATTTACTGCAGGGCCATTAATCTTTATTATCCATCTCTCACCCCTTTACCTCTCCGATCCTCCTCACCATCCTGTCCACTTTATTGAAGGTGAGCACATAAAAAATTAAAACAACAACAGCAATAACCAACCCTCCCAGTTCTACCTGACGCTTGTCTCAAGAGACACACTTGTGCGAGCAAAATTATGCACAGTCTTTTCAGAATGGGGAGGAGGCTTCAAAACGTTTGTGGACAAATGTAATGACAAGATAGGGAATTTTCCCACAACATTTTTGAAGCCCTCTTGTACACTTAAAATAGAAATGGTTTTTCCTCCTCATTTCTTGTTCTTGCTGAGCTGTGTGGCACTGTGATGACATTACCTGGAAAGGCTAAACTTGGGTCAAGAACTTTTTAAAGAAAGGTGTACATCTGGACACACTTTATGTGCATCTCCTCCCTCAGCACCAGCACTCTTAATATTCTTTCCTGGTTCACCTAGAACTGTCCCTTCCTAAGCAATCTCTGATTCTTTTTCCTAAGAGCCTTCAAAGGTGGGGTCCCCCCACCCTTATGTTCTATGGCTTAGCAAAGGCCACAGAACATTAAAATGTTAGACCTTAGGGCTCAGCGCTGTGCTGTTCATTCCTAGGTCAGGATGCAAAACCCTTCCAAAACACCTTATTACATTAAAACTCTCTCCATTTTGTTCTGCTTCCATGCACTCTGCAACTTCTTAAAACTTGGAGCCGGACTGAATTTCATGCCGAGGACCTAGAGTGCTTTGGATATACCTGATGTTGTCCGTGAACTTCATTCTGTCCTTTTTTTTTGGAGGGGAGGAGGTGTGTTTTGTTTATAAACCTTTACTGTGAATTGGTTGGAGGGTTTGCAGCATGGATCATCAGTTTTACATTCAGCAATCATATGTATGAGGGGGTACCAAAAAAAACAAACAAAAAAAAAAAACAGGGAAAAGCTCTGCTGGTTGGAGCTTTCGTAGTACAAATTTTTCCCGCTAGGTAAGTATCAAGCAACTCGTTCTGAGTTAGTGAATCCAGTGGCATCACCTAGGAAGGTTCTCTTTGGTCATAGTGAAATTTTTCGTAAAATCAGTTTAACTGGAACCTCATTTTTTTGTATGTGATGACTAATTTAAGAGAGCAGCATGCAGCTGTGAAATTTTGTTTCCTGCTCAGGAAAAGTGCCACAGACACTATTGTGATGTTCAACACAGCTTACAAGGACAACGCTATGGGAAAAACTCAATTGCACGAGTGGTTTTCTCATTTCTAAAAAGGTAAAATGTTGCGTGTTAACAAACTTGGACATCTGGAAACTTCCCGAACAGATGAAAATGTCAACAAAATTCATGTACTTGTGCTCGAAGACTGACGACGGACCGTTGAAGAGATGGGGATGTTATCTCTACTGTCTTGGAGCTTGGTTCAGTGAACTTGAACAGAAGATTCGGGAATGAGAAAAGTCACTGTGAAATTTGTGCCTTGGCTTCTGACCCACCAGGAAAAAGTGTATCCAGTGGAAACATGCTGTGCTTTGAAAGAACAGCTCTGAAGCAACTCAGACTTTTGTTCTCAAGGTCGTTACTGGTGACAAGACATGGCACTATTCTTATGACCCTGAAAGCAAACATCAGTCAAGCCAGTGGAAGAGGTCATCATCACCTCACCCCCCAAAAGATCAAAGATCAAGACGATGCTCATTTGTTTTTTTGATATGAGGGGTATAGACCATTTAGAGTTCATTCCATGAGGTCAGACGGTTAATCAAGTTTTCTATTTAGAGGTTCTGAAAAAATCTCATGACAGTGTGCAACAAAAAAGGCCTGAGTTGTGGCAGATGGGGGACTGGTTTTGCCACCACGACAATGCTCCTGC